TTTTTTTTTTTGCTCTTATCCACTGTTCATTTCCTTCCTTGTTCCCTATTTCCTTTCCTTACCCTTTCCTCTCCTCTTCCTCTCTTATCCTTGATCTATTTCCCTAGTCACATAATTTTTCTTCCCCTTTTCTCTTTTTCTTTCATTGTCTTGAACCCCCTTACCTTGAAAAGTTTAGGGCTGACCCATCTTCCCATCTCCAGCCAGAATTGTTCCTCAGACCAATCCAATAAAAGTCCTCTTTGAGGAGAGGTTGAAGCAGGCTCTGAGAGAGAGATTCAAGGTGATGGAAAAAGATAAGAAAACACAGAACACCAAAGAGGAGATTCAGTGTCATGATCAAACAATTATTCCTTATACACCCTCTCATTACATTATGGACTGAATATTTATTGCTCTCAAAATCCGTATGTCAAAGCTCTAACCTCCAACATGATGGCCCCTGGGGGTGGGGCCTTTGGAAGGTAATTAGGTTCAGATGAGGTCACGGGGCCCTCACTACTGATGCAATTAGCGTCCTTGTAAGAAGAGGCCAGAGTTCAGTCTCTCTCCACGAGGAGAGGCCACAATGAGAGGGCAGTTGTCTGCATGTCAGAAAGAAGGTTCTCACCAGAAACCAAACCCGTCAACACCTTGATCTTGGACTTCCCAGCCTCCAGAACTGTGAGACATAAATGTCTGTGGTTTAAACCACCCAGTGATACTCTGGTTAGCAGTTCAAGCTGCTTAAGACCACCACCTACTCCTAACAACTAATCTCTCTTTTAAATTCTAATTCTAGGGGCACCTGGGTGGCTGTCAGTTAAATGTCCAGCTCTTGATTCAGCTCAGGTGTGATCTCACGGTTCATGGGATCGAGCCCCGCATCAGGCTCTGCACTCAGTGCACAGTCCTTCTCCCTGTTTCTGTGCCCCTCCCCTGCTTGTGCCCTCTCTCTTTCTCTCTCAAATAAATAAATATATAAATATTTTAAAAATTTGATAAGCCCTTAATTCTGGAGATGTGTTGCAAAGTGGAGCATTTCCTAGAATTAAACTTTATGTCTGTACTTGCATTCTTATAACATGGAAGATAATATTGGTATTAGTGTAATGAATATACTTTACAATAAATAAACAACACCTCGGCTTTGCAAACTGCTCTTGTTACAGAGGTTTGTCTTGTGATGCTGAATTTTCAACGTGACGTTAATGTTGACAAGTATTATGTTTCTTCAGGAGCAGGAAGGACAAAAGTGTCAGTCTGACCAACGTAGCTGTAAGACCAACCTACTGACGGGAAAGTTACCTATAAAATAAGAAGCTCAAGAGTTGTATATGTTTCAGAGTACGAATGAACATGCAAAGGTATTCATATGTGTCTTAACAGATACCAAAGCGTCTGGGTTACAAGCGGTGGGCAAGTACAAATGTGTGCAGTAGCATCTGGGGACATCGATAACTGATATCTCTGTGTGTCCAGAAAGTATTGCATGTATAGTGAGATGATTACCTGGCATCCTCTCTATACTTCTTTTTTTTTTAAACATTGATTTATTTATTTAGGGGAGACTGGCACAGAGAGAAAGGGGGAGACAGAGAATCTGAAGCAGGCTCTGAGCTGTCAGCACACAGCCAGATGCGGGGCCTGAACCCACAAACCATGAGATCATGACCTGAGCCAAAGTCAGACACCCAACTGACCGAGCCACCCAGGTGCCCCTCTATACTCTACTTCTTATTCTTAATCCTTGAGGTCACTACAAATCCTCGGTGAAAGAAAATGCAAAACTAATAAGAAGGCTTCAGATGAGACCTCCCTTCTATTTTGTTCCCAGGAATCTTGTGTTTTAGTGGTTTTGTTGGGTTACTTGGTTGGTTTGGTTTTTCTGAGTTAGAGTTTGACCTGATAGATGTTAAAGAAAAAGGCCATATAACTTGTTCCCGTGATCACGTATTTCCTGACTGATCATTTGTCTCAAGCCTCCTTCCTACAGCCTCCTTCCTCCTTCCTATTGTAGGAAGGTTTGAGATAACCTGCCATCGGCAGCCCATCAACAGATCACATCATATTCTCAAATTCAGTGGACGTGCTTTGATCCCTCACCTCACTCTGTAAACCTCTCCCCTTTGGAAGTACAGAAACTCAAAACATGAGCAGTGACAGATGTTATTCCACAGTAATTTAGTGCTAGGATTTGGACCAGAACCCAAGGTCTTGCCCTGGTACCCAAGGCCTTGGCATGACCTCTACTAAGATAATCCATCTCTCTGCAACTCATGTCTCTCTTTAAACTGTGCTTTCTCGGGGCGCCTGGGTGGCGCAGTCGGTTAAGCGTCCGACTTCAGCCAGGTCACGATCTCGCGGTCCGTTAGTTTGAGCCCCGCGTCCGGCTCTGGGCTGATGGCTCAGAGCCTGG